TGGACAATGCAGGACTCTGGTTGGCGTGCGCGCGTGCGTCTGAGTGGCGCGCGCGCGTCTGAGTTCTGCATTCTCCACGAGAGAAAAGCCGACATGTAATTCCAAAAACTGAATTTCATAATTCTGTGAGTCTTTAAGGAGGCCAACCGAAGCGTCTACTTATTTGTCTTGTGGGCAATGCAGAACTCTGGCTGGCGCGCGCGCGCGTCTGAGTGGCTGGCGCGCGCGCGCGTCTGAGTTCTGCGTTCGCCACGAGAGAAAATCGACATGTAATTCAACCAAAAAAATCTGAATCCCAAATTTGTGACTCTTTTTTAAGGGGGCTGACGGAAGCGTCGACTTATCTGTCTCGCGGGCAATGCAGAACTCCGGCTGGCGCGCGCGCGCGTCTGAGTGGCGCGCGCGCGCGCGTCTGAGTTTTGCATTTCCCGCGCGAGAAAGTTGACCTGTAATTCCAAAAACTGAATGCGACAATTCTGTGACTCTTTAGGGGGCTGACGGAAGCGTCGACTTCTTTGCGTTGTGGGCAATGCTGAACTCTGGCTGGCTGGCGCGCGCGCGCGTCTGCATTCTGCATTCCCCACATAAGGAAATTCGACATGTAATTCCAAAAAACTCAATTCAAACATTATGTGGCTCTTCAGGGAGGCTGACGGAAGCGTCGACTTATTTTTCTCGTGGACAATGCAGAACTTTGGCTGGCGCGCGCGCGCGTCTGAGTTCTGCGTTCTCCACAAAAGAAACATCGATTTGTAAATGAAGAATGATTTCAAACATTCTGTAACTTTTCAAGGGGGCTGACTGAGGCGTTGACTTATTTGTCCTGTGGGCAATGCAGAACTCTGGCTGGCTCGCGCGCGAGCGTCTGAGCGGCGCGCGCGCGCGTCTGAGTTTTGCATTTCCCACGAGAGAAAACTCACATGTAATTTTCAAAACTGTATTCCAAAATTCTGTGGCTCTGTAAGGAGGCTGACGGAAGCGTCGACTTAGTTTGTCTTGTGGGCGCTGCAGGGCTCTGGCTGGCTGGCGCGCGCGCGCGCGTCAGAGTTCTGCATTCTCCGCAAGAGAAAAGTCTACATGTAATTTCAAAAACTGGAATCAAAGTTCTGTGGCTCTATAAGGGGGCTGACGCAAGGCGTCGACTTCTTTGCATTGTGGACAGTGCATGACTCTGGCTGGCGCGCGCGCGCGTCTGAGTGGCGCGCGCGCGCGCCTGGCGACGTTTCTGCTCGGCAAAATGCTACGTTCGCGTGCCGAGCAATATCCTCACTGGGCAAAAGTTTACGCGCACGAGTGGGGCGCAAATTTCACGGGGCAAAATTTTACACACGTCGTCCACGCACAATTTGCATTGGGCAAAATTTTCAGCACGTCGTTCACGCAAAACTTTCACTGGGCAAAATTTTACACGCGCGTCTCGAACAACATTTTTTCAGGGGAATATTTCGCGCACGTCATCCGCGCAAAATTTTCGCTGGGCAAAATTTTACGCACGCCGTCCACGCAAGCTGTTCAGTGGGCAGAATTTTACGCACGCCGTCCACGCAACATTTCCACGGGGGGAAGTTTTACATGCGCGTGTCGAGCAACATTGTCACTGGGCAAAATTTTGCGCGCGCCGTCCACGCAAACTTTCCACTTGGCAGAATTTTACGCACGTCGTCCACGCAAAATTTTCAGTGAGCAGAATTTTACGCACGTCGTCAACGCAAAATTTTCAGTGGGCAAATTTTTACGCACGTCGTCCACGCAAGATTTCCACTGCAAAATTATGCAGTTATTCTTTCCGCGACGTTCTCACAGTTTTGTTTTCCGTCGCCGTTCTGGAACGTATATTTCCGACGCGCAGAATTTTGCGTTCACTCTCTGCGCAAAAGTCCCACTGGGCAAAATGTTTCGTCTGTGCGCCGAGTAAAATTTTCGTCGGGCAAAATTTTGCGCGCGCGCCTGCGAGGCAAAATTTACGCCGCGCAGAATGTTGCAGATCAGGCGCCTGCGGTCCGAAAACTGAAGTTATATGTGTATATATATATATATATAAAAACACATTAAAAAATATCGCGCGCGCTCTGGCGGCGCGAAAACGAGTCTTTCTCCTGCGCGCGCGCGTCCGCGGCGAGGAAATGAATAGTTGGGTTTGCGTTGGCGCGCCGTCGGTTGAAAATGAGTTTTGGTTTGGGGGGTGCAACTTTTGCGGCGGATGTCAGGGCGCGCCAGACACTCGGCGGATCATTTTTTTTGGAGCGAAGGCATTCGCTGGAAGGGTCTCGCCAGCGGATTCTGGCGCGCTGCGCTACCTAGCCCGAGCCCGAGCCCGAGCCGTAGCCCTAGCCCTAGCCCTAGCCCTAGCCTTAGCCTTAGCCTTAGCCTTAGCCCTGGCCTTCGCCCTAGCCCTAGCCATAGGCTTAGATCGAGCCCCAGCCCTGGCCCTGGCCCTAGCCTTAGCCAAGGCCCTAGCCGCAGTTCTAGCTTCAGCGCTGGCCCCAGCCTTGGCACCGGCCCGAGCCTCAGCCTAACCTCTAGCCCTAGCCTCAGCCACGGCCTTAGCCCTAGCCCCAGTCCCAGCCTCGGCCCTAGCCCTAGCCCTAGTTCTATTCCTAGCCTTCGCTCGCGGTTCCAGCGCTCGTGTCTGACATGCTAAGGCGCTGGTGACCTTGGGCCTTCCCTAGACAAACTTGGGTTCTCTCCTGCGCTGACGCAAGGGCGGACCTTGGCTCGCATGGCCCGCGGAAGGCGTGCGCCAGGCATGGCCTAGGCCATCGTAGTCCTATACTAGGGCCGCGCCAGGGTTGCCTTGTTTTCCGTTTGGCCTGCCTTGCCCCCCCGCTTGGAGCGCCTCGGCCTGCGACGCGCGCGCCTCATGGGAACGGCTGGTCCAGTATCGGTTTGCCCAAGACTTACCCTCAATGTCGCTCCATTCCAAAGCTCTGGTTGCCCAGGGTCGGCGCCTGCCTACCTTGGGCGCGCCGCGGGCTTGCGCCGGCATTTCGCGGCGCCCGCGCCCCCGCCCCCCCCCAAAAAAAAAAAGAGAAGAGGTTCAGCGAGAAAGAGAGAGAGAGAGAGAGAGAGAGAAAGAGAGAAAGAAAGAGAGAGAGAGAGAGACAGAGACAGAGACAGAGAGAGAGAGAGAGAGAGAAATATGTATCAGTATAAGAAGAAAGAGAAGAAGGAAACGCCGCCCGCGCCACCCAGGCCCGCCCGCCCACCGCGCTCCATTTCCTCGTCCCGCTTTCCTTTCTCTACATGTGTTTGTTTCTCTCTCTCTCTCTCTCTCTCGCTCTCTCTCTCTCTCTCTCTCTCTCTCTCTCTCTCTCTCTCTCTCTCTCTCTCTTTTGTTTTGTTGTTCTTTTCTCTCTCTCTCTCTCTCTTTCTCTCTTCTCTATTTCTCTCTTCTCTCTTTCTATATTTCTCTCTCTCTCTCTCTCTCTCTCTCCCTCTCTCTCTCTCTCTTTCTCTTTCTCTGTCTCTTTCTCTTTCTCTTTCTCTTTCTCTTTCTCTTTCTCCGCGCGCGCCGCGCCGCCGCCGCCGCCGCCGCCCTGCTTCCCCCCCTCGCGCCCCCCCCCCCCCCCCCCCCCCGAGCCCCCCCGCCTCCGCCCCCCTTCCTTCCCCCCGCGCGCGCGCGCAAGCCGCCGCCGCCGCCGCCGCAGCCACCGCCGCCACTGCCACCGCCACCACCACCACCGCCACCGCATCCCTTCTACGCACCGACCGCGTGTCAACGTGAGATTTGCTATTGGCCAGCACGAGGCGAACCCTGGGCCCACCAGAGGAACCCCGCGCGCCCGCAATCCGCCTTGCGCACGATGCTGTAAGGCCTACATGGGCGCACAAGGGCTGGGCGCACCCTACGAGCACTCTCGTGTCATCGCGCGCGCATCAACACATTCTACAAACATGCATGCTGACCCGAGCCCTGCCCCAGGCCAGCCAACAAATTTCCCAGTCCGACCCTGCGCCCAGGGTGGATATGCTTCGGGCGTGACCCATGCGATCTGCCCCGAGGGTGACCGATCTGGGCCTGGACACCTACAATCGCGCAGCTTGCGCGCCGCAGCTGGCGGTCCTCTCAGCCCACACAGGCCCGCCCAAAAGACGCGGGCGGCCTGTTTGGGCTTTCCCCGGGCCCACCGCGACCTAGACACACTGTTCGCGCCATGCCTGCGTTCGGTTGCCGCGCGCCTTTCCCAGAGCCTCCCCTGGGCCTTGCGTGGGCGTGCCCCAGGCCACTCCTGGGCCCACCCGCGAGCATGTGTAGGCTTCCCCGCAGCGTCGCATCCTTCTGGGCGGTCTTCGGGTGCACCTTGGGCCTGGATGAGGCCCGTGTCTTGCCCCCCAACGCTCATTATGCGTAGGCCCGCCCCGAGACTTTTCAAGGCGAGTTCGCTTGTCCGAATTTGGGGGCTGCCTTAGGCTGGTTCTGAGCTTTACCAATGCCTCCGCCAGGCCAGCCGTCGGCAGGCGGATGACAAACTCTGGGACTGGACTGCCATGATTAATCATTCCCCACCCTGCGGCTGCGTTGGGGCTTGTGTCATGTTACATACGTGCCCAGGACTCGTGTTTGCCTGCGGCATTACAAACTTCCCGCCAACTTCTGAGCTTTCCCAGACTAGCGCAAGGTGTGCTTCATTCTGTTATATGTTGGCGGGCCTCCTGGGGCCTAGGGTAGGGCCTACTCTAGGGCATCTTGGGGTCTAGTTCGTCCAGGGTAGACCGACCTCCCTGGTTTAGCAATCCTTCTTGTACAAGCCCGCAATAGCAACGGTGATGCATGAAGCCACCCTCGCGGACCAGACGTGCTACTTTGATTTGGGAAATTGGGTTTCGGCCCTTTTCAGATGAGTGTGTGCCGACTCGGTTTTGTAAATGCACGCCGTCCCAGACTTGTTGCGCCCGCGGCGCTGGCATTCTGATGGTTCTATAGTTCAGACCCCCCATCGGGAGCCAACCTCTGGGCACCTCCGGACTCCTCGGGGCTCGGGCGACTGCTCACGGAGTACATGAAGCTCTCCCTTGACCACGGGGGCCCACCATACCTCCGCCTCATCGCGCCCTTCGAGGTCCTCCCAGGCTGCCGGCCGGTGGAGGCCATCCAAGATCTTTGGTGGCACTCCCTGCTTGGGGAGCATTGGGCACCAGCCGTCGAGCGGATCGACTACGCGGCCGCTCCGCTGGAGATGATCCTGCCCCGGCCGCGCGGCCCCCGCCAGGTGTCCCGCGGCTTGGCTGTCTTCGCGGTGGCGGCGCAGGGGCTTCGAGCCTCCCCCAGCTTGCTGCCGAGCACAGCACCGCTGCTGCAGGTGGCGCAGGCTCCGACGTACATCGTGGAGGTCCTCGCGGATAGGCCCCCGGAGATTCTGCGCCTGCTGGCCGACCCCAGCTCGGCCAACGGTCGCGCTGGCCCGCCACGCCGCAGCGTTTTATCGACCTCCACGGTGAAGTGGTTGTGCATGGAGTGGGCGCTCCCGCCTGCCGCCGCGCCATTGGAGCTGGAGCTGCTCTGGCGGCACCTGCGTCGCGTCTCACTTCCGCTAGGCACCATGTTCGGCTCGGTTGCTCTGTGCGCGGACAGGGAGACACTCCTCTGTGAGATGACGAGCGCGGAGGCGGCGCTGCACGCGTGGGACCTCAGCACGCAGCTGGTGGCCCTGAGCGCCGACAAGCTCGTGCTGCACACGGGCGCGCCCCTCGACGTTTGGCGGCCGAAGTTGGCGCGCCTGATGCAGCAGGACGCGCAGGCCACCATATTGCGCCAGAAGTGGCGCCCCTCCCGGTGCGGAGGGCGCCCTTGGGCCACCCCCGCCGCCGCGCCAACGCAGTTGGCGGTTGCTCGCCGCGCGAAGGGGGGCCGCCTGGGCCAGGCGGCGCCGCTGCGCCATGTGGCGGAGGTCCACGCATGCGGCTCACCGGGCTACGACGCCCGAGACGTGCACCGGCAGCTGATGGCGCACTTGGGCCCCGCGGCAGGCGTACAATTGGTAGAATCCTCTACTGGCGCGCTTTCCGCTCTAGGATGCTGGTGCTGGCCGGCGGCGGCGGACCCCATGGCATCGCCTGGGCGGGTGCGATTGTACTTGCAATCGGAGGCCGAGGTGCAGGCCGTCCACGGCGCCCTTCACGAGAAGACCACCCAGGTGGGGACCGACCTCGTCGCGCTGAGGGTCACTAGTGACTTGTTGAACCTGCCGGGAAACGAGCGGCGGAGGCGGGGGGCCCGACAGCCCGCTTCCGCGGGGCAGTAGGTCGGGAGCCACGCCGCGCTGATGGGGCAGGCAGCGCGGGAATTCAGGCGATCTCACGCCTGGGGCGCATGTCGTTCCTGATTGATCTTGTCTTCGAGATCGCGCCCGCGTCAACGGGCAGGAGTTGCGCTGGCAATGGCGATCCTTCAAGCAGTTCCTTTTCAAGCACTTCTTCTCCCTCCTCTTCTTCTACGCCTTCGCGATGCAGATCCTGACGCTGATCTCCGCAATGGGGCTCTTGATGATGTGCCGCACTCGCTCCGCGCCAGGGCGCGACTGCGAGCAGCGCGTGTGGGAGGCCAGTTCCGGGGGTCGCTCTCTGTGGCTACATGGAATGCCCAAGCATTGTTTGCCGCAGATCCCCAGAGGTTTCGTCCGGCGCCTCGCCGGGGCCCACGACGCCGTGCGCCTGACCGAGACGCACGGTGTTCCAGGCGCTCCGGAAGCATGGCGCGGGCCGCAAGTCTGCTGGGGGTGGTGGTCCCATGGCGCGGCGGCGCGGGCAGGGGTGGGTGCGCTGCTCCAGGAGCGGTTCGCCAATCAGTTCCCTGAGCGTGAGTGGGTAGAGATCGACCCGGGTCGCTCGGCGGTGCTGCGGCTCGGCGGCCCCCAGGGGCACTCGGACCTCGTGGTTGCTTACTTCCCTGCGGGATCCAGCCATGCCCTGCGCCCCCAAGGGAGCGGCCCTGAGGCCGACGCGATGGGCCCCCCTGCTCATAGCGGTTCCCTGCCGTAGCAGCGGGCAGCTCTCCGACGCCGGATTGCGCTCGCACTCCAACCAGCGACCGCCGCCCTCACCGTGGTCGCAGGAGACTTCAATTGGGTCACAGAGGATGCCGACCGCGTCGCCCTCAGGACCGGCTCTGCCTCTGGAGCGAGGGATCGCGCCGAAGAGCGCCATTGGCGGCGGGTCGCCCTCCAACTGTTCAGCCTGCACGAGCTACACCAGCTAGCGATGACACATCGCAGTGGCAGTGCGCGATCGCGGCTCGACCAGCTCTATTGCAATCAAGACTTGTCGGAACAATTCGACCAGGATCTGTTTGCAGCGGCGCTGGAATGGCAGCCGGAGCTGTCGCGCCACCGCGCGGTCGCAGCAGGCCGCCGGGTGCACTCGGCATCCCGCCCAGTCACGGCAGCTGCAGTCCAGCATGGGGATTTCGGATTTTTTGCACAGGGTCACGTTGGCGTACAATTAGTCTCTAGAGACCATCGTTTCCACCGCAGCACCCCTCCTCAGGCTGTCGCTGCTGAAAGATGCCGCCTGCCATGTGGCTGAGGGCATTTCGCGCGAGCTGCAAACAGGACGCCCCGCGGAGGCAACAGAGGGCAAGGTTGGCCTCGCCACGCAGCCCCCCAGGGCAGTCGAAGGCGGGCATGCGGGGCGCATCAGCAAATGCATTGAGCGGTACCCCGAGTTGGCCAAACTCGCGGGTAACCACCCGTACTCCCCAGAGCTGAGGCAGGCGGGGCGCTGGCAGGCAGTGCGCAGCCATGCCGTCGAGCTTGCTCGGGAGCGTGCGGTGGAGGAGCTCCAGCGCTTCAGCGACGATCTTCCCTCGCTGGACGCCGGGGAGGCGGCCGTGCGGCGGGGCCGCAACTGGCGCCTCATATCGAGGCTCGCTCCTGGGCGGTGCCAGTCAATCCAGGCAGTCATGGACCCCGCGGGCGCTGTCCGCATCGAGCCCGCTGCCATTGCGCAGGCTCTCCGCGACCATTGGGGCGAGGTCTTCAAGGCGAGGCCGCTCAGCAGGTCTCTTCGCAGACGCTGGCTCGGCGCAGACCGGCGCGCGCGTGGCGCGTGGGGGGTCGCGCCTTCCAGCGGCAGATGGCCCGAAATGGCAACTGCGTCCGCTTTCTGTGCGAGCTACCCTCGAGCGGGCCCCCTCCGCGGCGCCAGGCCCAGACGGCCTGCCCTTCGTGGCGTGGAAACGCCTCGGCCCCCTCGCAGTCGACGTCCTCTTCGCAGTGCACGAGCAGCTGTCTAGCCCCGATGCGGAGGAATCAATCCAGCGTGACTGCCCCGGGTACAACGACAGCCTCATGGTGTTTCTCCCGAAGACACCCACCTCTGAGAGCGACGACGGCATCTCGCAGTTTGCGCTGGCCGGCGCTCGGCCGCTGAGCCTGGTCAACGCAGGCAATTGACTCTCGGCCAGCGCGGTTCGACGCCGTCTCGAGCCTTTGTTCGTTGAAGATATTTCAGCCGAGCAACGAGGCTTTCTGAGTGGGCGCTCTACGTTGGCCAATATAATCGACGTGGATGAAGCGACGCAGGCGACGTTACTCACTTGCGAGGACGGCGCGGCGACATTCTTCGATTTTGCAGCCGCCTTCCCGAGCGTGGGCCAGGACTTCCTGTTGGACGTGCTCGCTGACTCAGGGATTCCGGCGCGCCCGCTGCGATATCTCCAATCGCTCTACTTCCGCAATCGCTGCGCGAGCGTCATGGGGGGCGGCGAGCACGAGGGATCCCCAGTGACAGCCTGGATTCGCCAGGGCTGCCCCCTCTCCCCGCTGCTCTTTGCGATCGCTGCGGATCTGCTGCTTCGGCGTCTCGGCCGGGCTCTCCTTGGCGCCGTCCGCCGAGCGCATGCAGGCGATCTGGCGGTGGTGGCCAGGGAAGGGGCGGGGCGAAGGCGGCGGCTACGTTGGAGCCCTTGTCTGGACTCCGTTTGAACCTTGGCAAGACAGTGCGGCTCCCGCTTCGGCTTGGAGACCCTGACGGCGTGCGCCTGGAGGTGGCCTCCCGCGCGCCGTCTTGGGGCGGGCTGCGGTTTGCCCGCAAGGCCAAGTACCTCGGCTTCCTCGTGGGGCCCGCGAGAGGAGAGCAAGGCTGGGATGCCGCCAGCGCCGAATACCTCCAGAGGGCACGCGAGCGGGGTCGCTCAGGAGGCGGCATGTTCGCCAATACGATTGGATATTCAATGTATGCCTTCTCGACTATGAGCTTCCTCGCGCAGCTGGGCGCGCCGCCGTTGAACTGGGGGCAGCTGGAGAGCGCTGCGCTGCAATCTCTTTACGCCGGGCCCAACCGGTCGGCGTCCGCGGCCGCCCTGCACTGTCTCCCTCTCCCGGGCTTTCTCGCGCGCCTTCCAGACCTGCCCGCGACGGCGCTGGCGGCGACGCACCGAGTGCGTCAATCTGAGGCGGCGGCGGAGGGCGGCCCGCGCGCGGCCGCCAGAACAACGGAGCTGCGCGCGACGCGGCTGCACAGCACGGCGCCTCTTGCGCGCCTGGGGCGCTGGAGCAATTGGTTCAACAGCTCGTTCTTTGCAGCTTGATGCGGCGCAGAGCTACTTCCATCAGCGCGCGCTGGGCCCGCGCCAGGTGGCACTGGCAGCGGGCGCGGCCGACCCCGTGCGCCTGAGGAAAGCCTGGCAGAGCACGTGCGCGCGCGCGTGATCGCACCCGACAGGGGCGCGTCCCTGGCACGCTTCTTGCGGCATCGGCTGTCGCGTTGGTCTTGCGACCTGCCAGTGGAAGAGATGACCAGCCGCGCATTGCGCGCGTATCCTGCCGTGGCAAGGCGAGTTCCCCCGCGGACGTTGGCCGCGTGCCTGCGGACGCTTTTGAACGGCTGGGTCACCGCCCTGCGGTTTCAGCAGCGCGCGGGCTGCTGCTTCGGGTGCGCAGACGGCGAGGATTCCGTGGAGCACAACGCCGATTGCCCCTGCGTCGCGGCGGCGGCGGCCCACCTGCTGGGGCTGCCCCAGCTGGCCTCGCGGGAGTCGCGGCTCGCCGGGTTCTTGATCCTGGCGCCCCCCCACAGCGAGCAGACGGCTCCAGAGCTGCGGCGCCGGGCGCTTCTGACGGCCAGCGCGTGCCTGACCCAGTGTCGGTGCAGGCGCGCCGCAGGCCGCAGCCCCGCTGCCTGCTTGAACGCGCTGAGGGCGGCCATCCGCCAGCTTCTTTAGTGCCGGCGCCAGTTCTGTTTCTCGTTATTTTGTCTGTCCTCCTCCTCCTCCTTCTCCTCCTCCGCGACGTGCAGCTTTGGTGCGAATCTCGGTGTCGATTCGCTCCATGTAGCGAATTATCATGTTTTCTCGAGGCCGAGGTCCCTCCTGCTGTCGTCTTCCGTCGTCCTCGTCGTCGTCGTTGTCGCTCGTCTCTCCGCTCCTCCCGCCCTCCCCACTCCTTCCACGGCAGCCGCTGACATGTCCCATGATTCTGGGAACGATCCGCGGCGTTCTTCCCCCCTCGGGGGCTGTGCCTTGCTGCGAGCTGGTCGGTGGGCGAGACCCTGGGCGCCCGCTCGCGGATGCTTGGGGACTCGGCACCATGGCCGCGGCTCGGGACGGCGCCCGTTCCCTCCTGTGTCTCCCCCGTCGTTGCTGCTTGCCGTTGGACCCGCTCTCGCGCGTGGGGGGTTGGACGTCTTGCCCGCTTCGCTATGCTACGTATCACTGGTTCGGGTTTGGGTCTTGTGCTCTGTAATTTGGCAAGTGCGTTGCGTTCCCCGGCCTGGGGTGCGATTTATTTTCTCCGTCGCTCAACGCGCGGGGTTCGATGATGCGTTGCTGGGGTGTTTCGTATCAGTCTCTCTTTCCCCCTCGCCTCCTCCTCCGTTCTCCCTCTTTCTCGGATTCGAAGTGCCGCGCTGTCGATCGCAGCCGGCAGACTCATCCGTGGCTGTGGAGTCCCAGAGCGTTCGGCAAGAGCGTGCAGCCTCCCCCCCCCTCCCTCCGTCCGTCCTCCTCCTCCTCCTCCTCCTTCCGCTTCCCCCCCCCCCGCCCCCCCCGGATTCGAGGTGCCGAGCTGTCGATAGCAGCTGGCAGATTCATCCGTGGCTGTGGAGGCGCTGAGCGCTCGGCAAGAGCGCGCAGCCTCCCTCCCTCCCCCCCCCTGTCCTCCTCTTCCTTCCGCCTCGTTTTTCCGTCCTCCTCCCTCCCGCCCCTCCTTTGCTCTCCTCCTCGTGGTGGCGGGGTGAGGCGCTCGGCCTCCGTGGGCGGCCTCCGCGCCAGATCGCTGGCGCCGTCCCGTCTGCGCGGGTCGCGCGTGTAGCCCGCAGGTCGCGCCCCGTCGGCGCGGCCGCCCACATTTTTTCCCCATTTAGTCTTGCCCAATCTTGTTGCGTAGTTTGCACTCTGGTTGCATTGAAGATGACTCCCCCGCATCACGCAGGCGCGTGGCAGTTCATGACCTGTTATGGGGCTCTAGGCTTGAAATGTATACCTTCGTTTTGTCAACTCTCTCACGCCGTGCTTGCTCGGCTCAGTCTGTGCGTTACTTCTTGTTCCGGTTGCAACCCGCCCCCGCAAGCGGCATTTTGCCGAACGCGGGGGGCTCTGCACAACGAGGTCGATGCACGTGTCGGGGCGTGCGCTCGTGGAGTGATCGAGGATTATTTTTCGTCTGAGCCTCCGCGTTTGTCTTCAGCCTGGCCTAGTCTCGCCCGCTCGTTCGCCGAGTGTTTGTTGCTCCGCCGTTGCGGGGCACGATGCGCGGCTGTCCCCGCCGCGTGGTCGATGCAGGCGGGCGCGAGCCTAAGTGTGGTCAGACTGCGCACTGGGGGCCGGCCACCTAGCTGCGGTTCGCGCTCGCGGAAAAAAAAGTGTGGCAGCGTGGCAATCGCTTCTGCTCCTGGGCGTCGGTGAGAAAGGGGTCCTGCCCAACTCGGCGAGCTCGACCGGCCCAGGTCGGGCGAAATTCTACTCGCAGACGTGACTGAATCCGAGGTTCCTCCACCTCCTGGCCATGGCAGGCCGGCGAGGGCGATGGCGTCTTCGAAGCCCTGGGCGACTGGTTCGAGCTGCTGCGTGAAGATTCTCGCGTGTATTTTGAGGCGCTCGACGAGCAGGACCTCAATGAGGGTGGCCTCGCCCCAATGTTTTCGGCGGCGATCGAGGAAGAGGCCTGCGAGGAGAAGAGGCGCGCGCGGGCCGAAACTCGCAAGCTCAAGGCGGCCAGGCGGGTGGACAGACTTCGTCGATAGGAAGCGAGCTCCAGATGCGCCCAGATCTCGTCTTTCACGTCCGGTGACCTCGCGATGAAAACGAGGCGCGCCAAGTGCGGCGACCGCGGTTGCTGGGCGGAGGATTTCAAGAAACCCTGCCGCTCGAATATCGATCGACTCGGAGGTGAACGAAGGGGCTCGTCGGCGGCAGCCACCAGGTGATCCGGCAGTTTGTCTGGCCTCGCCTGCGAAGCCTGGTATTGCGAGGCTCTGGTGGACAGGGGGTGCTTCGCATGCTGTGGGCCGCCCTTGCGAGGGGAATGCTTGAGCCAATGCGAGCCGCCCCCGCGAACCCAGACCCCTCGGCATTTCGGCGGCGCCGCGTCAGAAGGGCGACGAGACGGACCGGGCCAACGAGGTCGAGTCGGGCTTCTCGGACGAGGATTTCTAGGGGTGCGAGGACGAGCTCGAGAACTGCGAGATGGCTGTCTGGGCCGCCGCCTCGATTGAGAAGTGGGTCGGCCTCGTTCGGGGAAAGAAAGGCAGGCGCGCTTGGCCGAGCGCTGATCGGGGAACAGGGCGTCGGCATTTTGCAGCAGGCTTTACGTCGGCGTGGCTGTCGTGCGCGCGCTGACTGGTCCCCCGTGGGGGGCCGGGCAGCTTCCGCCATTGGAGGCGCGGCTCATCCCGCCGGACGAGCGTGGGTGCCATGCTCGTTGGAGGGGTGGGGGGTCACCGAGTTCCTGGTCTTCGACGCCCGCAGCCCGCAATTCTTCCGGGCCGAGCTTTCTGGGGCTATCGGGGCGGCCGTGGGCCTTCAGACGAACGAGATGACAGTGGGCGACTTTGGACATCGCGTGGTGCGCGCTCTATTTCGGCGCGCATCAGGTCACAGGTCCGCGAGCCTCATTCCCTGCGCCTCGGAGCACTTCCGCGCCCCCGAGGGGTGAAGGGCGCCCTGCCGGCGCCGCGTCGACTGGGTGGTTGCGGGCCTCGGGGGCTGAGGGTGAGAGCCGGGGTCCGTCGGTGGAGCACGCAGTCTTCTCTTCCTCTCTCGTCTCGGAGGGGTCTCTAGAGGTCCGACAGGCTCGGGGCTCGGGCGCGCCCGGGAGCCCGGGGGGCAGCGGCCCTGTAGCCGACCGGGCCCGATCGGACTCATGTCCTGGAGATGAGCGCGAGCCGGGCGAATTGCTCTCGCGCTGTCTGATGAAGCGTGGCGCGCGGGTCAAAAAAAGAACGCGGGGCGTCGTCGAGGAGGCGTTCGAGGTCTTTCAAGACGATCGCCGACAGCGACTCGGAGAAGTCGCCCGAGTGCGGGCATCTACCCGACCTGGCCAGGTCCTGGAGGCATGTCCACGGAGGACAGGGGGCGCTCCTCATCGCCAGCCACATCGAGATCTCGGAGCCGCTCAGGCTCTGGCGCAGCTTCCGCCGTGAATGAGCAGCATGAACTTCGTCCGCGTGCGGATGCGGGGGTTGGTTCGCGCCGTGCCGAATTCCTGTCTCGACGCCTTCTCGGCAGACGACGGCTCGCGTCCACCGTGGGCCCTGCGCGAGAGATCGAACGCGACGAGCGTCTGCGCCCATGGCATGCAGTGCGCTCGTCGCTTTCCCCTAGGGCCAGGAAATTCGAGGCGATCTTCGACGATCAGAGGCGCAAGATGGACGCGGTGGGCAGCCTGCAGGGGCGTCGTGGGCAGCAGACCAAGGTCGCGGAGGTGCTCGAAGAGCGCAGGAAATCGGGTGCGACCCCGTGCGCTCCAGAACCGTGGGCCCCGTCTGGGCAGGAGTCCTCTCGGGGGATGGTCTCAGGCAGCGGTCCGACGGCCGTGATCTCAGCTGCAGATGTTCCTCTGGCGCCGACCGACCTCTGCTTGCTGGAGGACGAGGGCTACGTCGGGCACAAGCAGCCGCCACCTCCGCTTCCTCGGGATGCGCGCCCGACGCCGTCGGCGCAGTCATTTCGGCCGATGGCGCCCAAAAGGTTGCGGGAGGCTCGGGGCGACGCGGTGATGCGCGTCGGCGGCCGGCGCGGTTTCAGCGAGGAGATGTGGGCGAATGCGCAGAACTTCCTCAGCAGCCAGCGGCAGATGGCGACGAATCCGCCCCCGACTGCGACATCCATGCTCTCGGAGGCGGGTCCCATCGAGATCGCGCGGGTGATGTCATCGCCGGGCGCGCCGCCGGGGCATCACTGCAGGCGACTTCCACTGGCGCGGCGCGGGGCGACGTCCGGCCGATCGACGCGCGAGCAAAGGCGAGGGGGCCAGGTCGTCTCCGTCTCCAATCCCGCGACCTCTCCGCGACACCTTGAAGCGCGTCGCA